CATGCTTATTCAAAAGCGACCTGGACACAAGGTTCTTACGAATTTCCAGCACATACAGCACGTTGTTGAGAGTCAGCTCTTTTCTCGAAGTCATCTTCAGAACCACTTTTCCTTGGCCCTTGATTTCAGAAGTTGTTAAATTTCCCATGAACAACTTCTCTTCATTCTCAACTGCTTCAAAAGCAGTAAATAACTCTTTATCAGAGCACACATGTCTCGTAGCTCCAGTGTCAATCCACCATTCTTTTGGGTTAGAAACCACCATGTTCACTTCAAAAATGACTGCTGCAAGACTCATCTTCGACACATCATGTGCCATGTAGTAAAACCACATTTGCTTCTTTCTTCTTCTTTGGCAATCTGCACTCCGAAGATTTGTGGTCTACTTTGTCACAGTTGGAAATAATATTTTATATTAGATTTTTTATTACTTTTGCTATCAAATTGCCGATTATACCTCTACATACATGGTTACCAGATACCCATGGAGAAGCGCATTATAGTACTTGTATGCTTCTAGCCGGAATCTTATTAAAAATGGGAGCATATGGATTAGTTCGGATCAATATGGAATTATTACCCCATGCTCATTCTATATTTTCTCCTTGGTTGATCATAGTAGGCGCAATGCAAATAATTTATGCAGCTTCAACATCTCTCGGTCAACGGAATTTAAAAAAAAAGAATAGCCTATTCCTCTGTATCTCATATGGGTTTCATAATTATAGGACTTCTCTTGAAATTTCTTCTTAGGAATGCCCCCTTTTGGTCCCAACTTGATCCCTTTTCCACCGGATGAGCTAGCTTTGGTTTTGTAGTTCTTACTACCTTGACTATGTTCAACAATATTGGCCTTAGCCGCATCAGGATTGAACTACTTCTTTTCGGAACTCTTGTCGTCCTCTTCAATTCGAAATCTAACAATCAGTTCTTCAACGTTCATTTCCTTTCGCTTGTGTTTCAGATAATTCTTGAAATCTTTCCACGCGGGAGACAATTTTTCAAAGATTGCAGCCACTTGGAAAGTTTCACTCAGAATCATCCATTCGGCATGAATTTCGTGAAGAATCACTTGGAGTTCTTGCACTTGACTGATTACAGTTTTGGAGTCCACCATCTTATAGTCCAAGAATCAGCCGACGATAAATTTCTTAGCCTCGGCATCCTCAGTCTTATATTTTCGGTCCAAAGACTCCCACAACTCTTTAACAGTTTTCATGGTGCTATACACATTGTATAGCGAATCTGCCAAACTGTTCATGACATAATTTCGGCATAAGAAGTTCGAGTGGTTCCAAGCATCAACAGCACTGATTGCTTGAACATCCACCTCACCCTCTTGGAGTTTTGGAGCACTTTCAGTTAAGAATCTCGCAAGATTCAAGGTGGTCAGATAGAACAGCATTTTCTGCTGCCACCTCTTGAAATTCAAGCCGTTGAATTTCTCTGGCTTTTCCCCATGGTTAACCGGTACATTAACCGGAACATTAGCCACATGTTGGCTCACAACACGACTTGGCACTTGAGCCACAGTTTGAGCCATAACAGAGCTAGGCTCTGCAGCCAGAGCTGCACCCATAGCCGAACTAGGCCCTACGCCCATAGTAGAACCCACAGCCTGAGTTTGGGTACCTACAGCTTGGGACACATCCATGTTGGTGGAACCGGTTGCCATTTCGTCTTCTGAAAGAACCAAACAACAAATTAGTTTCCACAATATAACAAATATAAAAAACTAATCAGTTCAGAAATAATCAATATAGGAAACCAATTTTTCCTTTCTGAAAATTTGTTTTAAGCTTGTAAGGAGAATCCCAAGTTTCACCAGTTCGGTCGACCGAACTTTTCTGAAATTCGGTAAGTTTATAAAAAATGAGGAATTCGGTATTCTCGATTTCAATGCCGTATATGTTTTTTGTCCGGTAAGATGATATATAACAGCAAGTTACAATCGTACAACTAATTGGATAATAACAGAATGAACAACAAATCAACTATTGAATTTACTGCAATAAATAACAGAACGAATAGTTGAAATTGCAGGAAATGAAATTTTAAATCGAGGCCTGTGTTACATACAGTTTCCTTAAAACAGATTCACCCCTTCACCGTCCGTGCTTGAGGTTTAAAACATTTTTCCCAGTTCGGTCGGTTTATGAAAAATGAGGAATCCGGTATTCTCGATTTCAATACCGTATATGCTTTTTGTCTGGTAAGATGATATATAACAGTAAGTTACAGTCGTACAACTAATTGGATAATAACAAAATGAACAACAAATCAACTATTGAATTTATTGCAATAAATAACAGAACGAATAATTGAAATTGCAGGAAATGAAATTTCAAACCGAGGCCTGTGTTACACACAGTTTCCTTAAAACAGATTCGCCCCGTCACCATCCTTGTTTGAGGTTTAAAACGAGCGTCTGTTTCCCAGGATATAACGGTAAAATCAGTAGCTTCCGAGTACCGCAGAAACCACTCCGACGATCTGAATTAGAGCTTGAACTACAACACCACCAAGACAGATATGCAGAAAAGACAAAACTCTATGTAAATGAATTTCTTATGTATTCTAAACTTGAAAACTTTTGTTTTGGTGTATTGAAATGAGGAAAATGAGCCACTATTTATATGCTAGGCTACTATTAATGGCAATGACCTTTGGAGTTTCTCATCTTTTTCCTATGTGGGACAAATTCATTTTTCCCACATAAACTCCCTTTTGAGTGGTACACTTTGAGCCTCAATTTCTCATTCACCCGAGCATCATCTTTGGCAAGTAAGTATATGATTTCGATGTACTCACGGAAGAGAACACAAATCAACTTTCATCTTCCAAATTGAACAACTGGATCCCACTGAAAACTTGTGCCAAAGTCGGCCCATAACCCAGCTTTTTTTTCCAACATAAAAACCATACATGTAGTCGGCACCCTTCTTTCCTCTTAGATTATCTTGTGATAACTTTAAAAACTATAATTTGTTAGTCTTGATTCTTATTATTGACTTTGAATAAAAATTTTTACTGTCAGTTTGAGATATAATTTTTTATTTTCTTGATTTGAGTTTACGATCTCAATCGAAATAATAAAATAATTTCTCCATTTTATTTTCTCAATGTAAAAGAAAAGTATGATCTAAATTAAATTTTTTTATGTCAATATGAAACTACCATTCTTCTTTTCCCTTAAATATAGCTTTTGTAACTTGTGAAATTATATTTTATTGATCAATATCAATATTCTTGTCTTAGATTAAAAATTTCAATATCCAATTGATATTTATTTTATTTTCTTGATATAGTTTGAATCTCAAAGAAAATCAATTTTACTCGAAAATATGAAATCCAATGACCACTTGAAAAATATTTAAAGTTCAGTAGATAAAACATGATAGATATATATGTTCAATGACTAATGAAATAGGGTAATTGAGTGAAATAGTGCAATGTGTTAAAGTTCAATAATCACTTTGAAGCAATTTAGCGCCTATTTGGTCCCATTATTCCACATTATATGAGAAGAATAATAATTTTTTAAAGAATGTGTGGTTAAAAAAGAATTTTTTTGGATTTACATGTAACATTATTTTATTGAAGAGTGTGTGATTGATAAGAAGAAAGAGAAAGATGAATTATAATTTAATGTAGAATAATAGGGGCCAAATAGGGTTGAAGTTAAGTGACTTTTGAAATATTGTGAATGAACGATGAAATTCAACGTGTTAAATTTAAGTAATCGAAATCCTTTAAACTTCAGTAAGAAAAACGTGATGGAACTCTAAGTTCAATAACTAATGAAATATTTAACTCTATAATTATGGACCGCACCACCTACATGTCCTCGCGGCTGCCCCGGCAAAAATCAATTAATTTCACCATTGTATGCTCTGTCTATGCCATTATTTGACACGTTTATTATTCACATTTTAATTAATTTTAACATTTGCCTACACAAAAACTGTCCTATTGCACATTAACACCAGTGGTCAGTACATACTTCCAATACTACCCATAAAGAGAAGAATCATAGTTTAATTCAATAAGCTCATATTTGGCCCATTAAATTAAAATTTATTTTTCATTCTCTTTTTATTTATCACACATTTTTTAATAAAATAATATTATACGTAGTTCTAAAAAAATTTCTTTCCTTTTTAACTATACATTATTCAAAAAATTACGATTTTTTTCATTATAATTTAAAATAATGAAGCCAAAATACATGCTAAATTATCTTATTATCATATTATTACATGGATGTAGCCTAAATCACGAGTCTTTTCATTTCTATTAGGATAAATTTAGAGTAATGCAATTCATAGTGAATACTACTGGTAGTCGTCTTACGTAACATACAAATGATAATTTTTTATTTGAAACATTAAAATAACATTTTTTTATTACCTTATAAACCAAATAACAAATTATTACATGTATATCATATAGGACGACTGTCGATAATCTTCACTACGAATAATATTATTCATAAATTGAACATCAGTTAGTAGCTTGTTGGTTTCAATCTTCCCTTTTTAGTAACGTAACACAATCTTAATATCTTTAAATCATTAAGTGATCTTCCTAAAAACAAAATCCATTTCAAATAACTAGACACTAGATTAAACCCCTGTTTGAAAGTCATTTTTTGGAAAGAATGAGATTTTGAATAGTGATTTTTTAAAGAATATATAATTAAAAAGTAAAAAAAAAATTGAACTTACCAGGTAAGTATTTTAATGTGAGAATTTATGATTGAAAGTGAGTATGGGAAAAAATGAATTTTTAATTAATGAATACCAAACGGGCTAAATTGAAAAGCAAAATTAAAAGTTTCAAGAAGTTGAAAATCGGTACTTGGATGTGCTAGATATTGATTGCTATAACTACTGTCTTTGAATACATCAACGTGTCATAAACCATTTTTCACACTTCACAAATCTTCCTTTTATGTAAATTAATTAGAATAACTAATTAAAATCGAAAAGACGTTTCATGAGATGAATCTGAATCCAAAAACTCTTTATATCAATCTGTATCAATTCCCAATTAATAATATAGATTATAGCATTAAATCTTACTTTAATTACATACCTTTAGAAGCAGATTCACCATAATCTGGTCAGAGTGGTAGTGGGCAAGGGGGGTGTGTAAACGCACGCAGATAAAAGATTATTCTATGGAATTATTAAATATATGTACATGTGCGAGAGGGATTGGCCTTAAGCCTTTAAACTTTAGTGTGGAATGAAAAGCCAAAGAGCCGGCTACAGCTCCATCACAACGCCTCCACCAGCACTACCAAGTAGCTGTAGATTCTACAAGGAAATTTCCCAATCTTGGTTTCTTGTTTCTTTTATTATAATATAGATTTTCAAGTTCTGTTTTGGGGTCTTTATTTTCTCAGTCATTCTTGTCTTTAATAGCAAATCATATCTCCATTCCTAGCTGATCAGTTGGATAAAGTGAATTAATATTGGGTGTTTATTGTATTTAGTGCGCACAAACTAAATCTTTGTGGGCATGTGTGGTGGAATTGGGTTAAAAAACATGACAAGTTTATGGTCTTGGCGCATCTAGTAATTTTCAAGAAAAGATTTTGATAAAGATTTGATCTTTGGGGGAGGTAAATGGGCTGCTTTCCTTGTTTTGATTCAAGGGATGAGGAAAAGCTAAATCCCCAAAAAGAAAGGGATGATCACAGGGAAGTCCAACCAAACATTTCATCCAACATATCAAGATTATCGTCTGGTTAGTGTCTTTTATGAAATTTATGCAGAGGTACTTCGGATTTTTATTTGTATTTATGTTGTCTCAGTTTGATCTGATCTGGGATTTTTGTATAAAAGATTAGTTGATTCGATTGATTTTTATGTGTGACTTTGATTGATTTTGTTTATAACTAAGATTTATTGGACTGCTGCTTAGATTCAACTAGACGTGGACCCTATAACTTTATGATGGATTTGACAAAAGATACTTTATTTCTTCCTATCTATTTAATAGTGAAATGAGATTTCAAGGGGACTATGATGGCTAAATTTGATCTGGTTGTGATATTGGAATACTAATTATTCAACCTGAAATGGTTCAAGTTCATATTTTCCTCCGTTGAATAAACAGAAGTTATTCCTGCTAATTCTGATATCACTTGAATAGACCAAGAGTTTACCTTTATTAATTATTAAGATGCAGAATATAAATAAGTATAAACTTGGGTCTTGCTTAATAGTACTGTGAAGCAATAATATCTTCTTTATTTCACTAATCTGTTAAATTGACTGAATAATGTACTGAAGTTTATATTTTCATTTTTAATATTGTTATTTCCTGATAGCACTGTTTAGATGTTTGTGAGTTTTTATGGGTTTCTGGTGGTTTGTCATGGTGGAATTTGCAGGTGCAGACAGGGCCAAATTAAGGAGCAATGTCGGGCCAAGGAAAGAACCATCAGGACCGAAAGATGCACCTGTTGCTCAAATTGCTGCACAGACATTTACTTTCCGCGAGCTTGCTGCTGCTACAACTAACTTTAGGCCAGAGTGTTTCTTAGGAGAAGGAGGATTTGGGTGTGTCTACAAAGGGCATCTTCCCAGTGGACAGGTAAATTTCCCATTAACTTTACTGAAAATTTGTGTTACGACATGGATGTGAGACATTATGGATGATCTTCAATTAAAACTGAGAAGTTTCTTCCACCAAATAAGTTGTTTATTTCTGCAAGGTTTGTGAATCACATTGGCTTCGCTTGCAAGTTAGGGGACCACTGGTTGCAAGAATGTCTTTGAGATTATTTACAACCATGCGTCCGTAGATGGATATTTTATTTAAATGGTGGTGTGCACGCTAATACATTTATATATGTGTATTCAAACAATATTAAATGAGTAGGTGATGAATTAACTTAAAAACAATGTGTTTAAGATTTGCTATAAAGTGATTTGTTCGATTTCTTTAGTGAGAGCACTGAGTATAGTAACTTGAGTACTTCATTCTTATAAAATTTAAGGATATATATGTTACTTTTGTCTTCATCAACTTATGATTCCAAATTATTATCAAATGCTTCCTTTGAGTTTTCACGAGTACATTTTTCCAATTTTTTGTTAGGTTGTTGCTGTTAAGCAGTTAGATAGGAATGGGCTTCAGGGTAATCGAGAATTTTTGGTAGAGGTTCTTATGCTTAGCCTTCTACATCATCCTAACTTGATGAATCTAATTGGTTACTGTGCTGATGGGGATCAGAGGCTTCTTGTCTATGAATTTATGCCCTTGGGATCCTTGGAAGATCACCTTCTTGGTAATTTTTTTCTTATTGTCCTATTGTTCCGTTTATATTTATTTATTTATTTATTATTATTATTATTTTCCATATATAGTTTGTTCTCCTGTATTTGGAAATACTGCTGGATATATGTGAGATAAGAACTTTTCGTGTAATGGAATTGTACCTTTTCACTATAAGACCAAAAGTTTTAGAAAACAATGAACAATTTATTTCTTTAGTTACATTTAGAGAATCTACTCTTCGAAGATGAAATGATCGGATTTATTCCAGTTGTCATAGAATTTTTCTATGAAACACACTACCTGACCTGTTGTTTGTAATCTTATTCTGTAACATCGGGTGTCAGCTAATTAATATGTATCGTCACTGAAACATTTTACATAACCATAATCCAGGAGAATGACATTGTTAAAATCCGTCTCCAGCTTGTTACTATCTTGGATACTTTTTCTCCTTGACATGCAATTTCTTACCAAATCTGTCTCCTCTTTCAACCTTAAAAGATTCCAAATAATTATTCTCAATTTTTTCTTTTGCATGTATTGACAGCATAAGCCTTGCAAATTTTCTTACTGATCCTTCAAGGTATTCAATTCACTTGTAGTACAGTGCAATCACAAGATCTATCGATGACCTTTGGCTGTTGTGATCCCATTCTCACCCTTTTTCGACAAGAAAACATGATTGACCTATTGACTTGCCAGTAGTCTGTGTTTGATTCCTAGAAATTAGACACTAATCTATTCATGTCTCAAGCCCTAAGCTTCACCCTACAATTTACTAAGAAGCAATGAGATGAGCTATCTCTCTTACCTCTTTACCAGTTTTAATTTACAATGTAATCAGTCCCGAAAAGCAACTGCGGTAGTGTCTTTTTCTGTCAGTTCATGTAGAACATCATTGAAGCATCCTAATACTATGCTAACTGTATGATTAGTGGGTCCAGTTAATGAATTCTGAGACCCTTTTGCAACCTAATTATGTGGGTCATGAAGAAGTAATAAAAAATTTTCTTGCCTCTCTGTCCTACATAATATGCTCGAGATTTGCTTGTGATCTCATTATGATCACGAAATGGGATTAGTTGGTTGTAAGCTAAGAGCTATATCATTCCTGTTCTATTCAAAATTTCTAAATCGCTTAAACACAAACATGTTCACACAAATTTTCTCATTCATTCTTGAGTTGGTTGCACTGTTAATGGTGGAGTATGCTGATGAAGTTAGCTATTTGTGTTTTATACTGGTAATTGATTATTAAATTTCTCTATCATGTCTACAGCCATTTTATCATATGTTCACAATCTTCACATTGTATTTTTTTCCTCCAGATCTTCCACCTGATAAAGAGCCATTAGATTGGAACACGAGAATGAAGATAGCAGCTGGTGCAGCTAAAGGTTTGGAGTATCTCCATGACAAGGCAAATCCTCCAGTTATATATCGGGATTTTAAGTCGTCAAACATATTGCTAGGTGAAGGATATTTTCCAAAGCTCTCAGACTTTGGACTTGCAAAGCTTGGTCCTACGGGAGACAAGTCGCATGTGTCCACCAGGGTCATGGGAACTTATGGTTATTGTGCTCCCGAGTATGCCATGACTGGGCAACTGACAGTTAAATCTGACGTCTACAGTTTTGGGGTTGTCTTCTTAGAGCTCATCACTGGGCGTAAAGCTATTGATGGCACCAGACCACATGGAGAACAGAACCTTGTTGCTTGGGTAAGTGACTCAATATTTTGCAATAGTACATTTTCTTCAGTATATATTTAGTTACCATGAGGATTGTCCATGTAATGCAGGCACGGCCATTGTTCAATGACCGGAGGAAATTTGCTAAATTGGCAGATCCACGGCTGCAAGACAAGTATCCTATGCGAGGTCTTTACCAGGCTCTGGCTGTGGCATCCATGTGTATCCAAGAACAGGCTGCTAGCCGCCCTCTGATTGGAGATGTCGTCACTGCACTTTCTTATTTGGCAAATCAGAAGTATGATAATAGTATAGCTCCTGGGCATATCTGCAGGTTTTCTGGGGATAAGGACGATAACAGAAACAAAGATGAGCGAGGTGGAAAAATATTGAGGAATGAAGAGGGAGGGGGATCTGGAAGAAAATGGGACTTGGAAGGATCTGAGAAGGACGACTCTCCAAAAGAAACTACGAAAATGTTGAACAGGGACTTGCACAGGGAACGCGCAGTGGCAGAAGCTAAAATGTGGGGTGAGAATTGGCGAGAAAAAAGACGACAAAATGCCCAAGGAAGTTTCGACAGCAGTAACGGGTAGTACTTATTTTCATACAGTATAAGGCTCCCTTTGACCACCTGCATATTTCATTGGTGATTGAAACATCCCAGAAATTGTGCTTCAACCAAGCACTGGAAATTCAATCTTCTTGTGAAGAATGAGTGTCAAAACTCATAAAAAAGACACAATAAGGGGCCTTATTTTATTTTATTTTATTTTGAAAATTTTCTTTTATTTTCATTTCTAGATAAAGAAGAAGAGAGCGTTAAGTGTGTATATTTACTGATGGAACAGTGACCGTAAGTATTTCTGAAAGGGAAGCTTGATTTTTCTTTTGCCAGTTCTATGAAAAACATAAGGGTGCGTTTGGTTTGCGTTTTCTATTTTTAGTTTTGAATTCATTTTTAGTTTTCTGTTTTGAGGGATTATTTTCGAATTACAGAAAATATGTTTGGTTTGTCATTTTGAAAAATGGTTTTTCAAAACAGAAAATTAGAAAATGCATTTGGTTTAAAATTTTTAGAAATTGTTTTATGACATTAATTCAATTAATTTGATTATTTAGTAAAACATAATAATTTTATGTTAATATATTATCAAATAATTTATATTTTAAATTGGGTGAAATTACTATTTTTTCTTGCTACAAAAATAAAATAATCTTGGTTTATTTAATCATCAGGGACTTCCAAGCACACTAATTTTCCATAATATAATTCATCTATAAATATCCAAATTTTGATACCCAAGGCCCCATATATAGTTCGAACTGTATAGGAACAATAAATAATAAATTTTTAGAAATTATTTTATGACTTTTATTTAATTAATAATTTGATTATTTAGTAAAATATAATAATTTTATGTTAATATATTATCAGATAATATATATTTTAAACTTGGTGAATTTACTATTTTTTCTTGCTACAAAAATAAAATAATAAATTTATAGACTAAAAATAGCATTCGTTGTAAAGAAAATAGCTAGTATGTGCTTCATCCTTTTGGATGAATTTTGTTGTCACTTAGACAGTGTTAAAAGAAATAATAGTTCTTCGAAATTTTGGTCAACGGAAAAAAAAAATAATCGAAATTGAAAAATGTTATTGGTTTTAAAATTATTATGCTTCACTAAATTGTATCAGATTACAACATTTTATTTTAAAGTACTACTGAGCATCCCCTAGGTAAAAAAAAAAAAAGTTATGTATATATATATATATAGAAAAAGAAAAAAATGTCATGTTTTGTCTATTTTCTGCATTTTGAGTTTTTTAATTGAAAATACTCAAAACTAAAAAAAAAAAATCGTTTTAAGTTTTCAGTTATAAATTTTTCCTTATTTTCGGAAATGCATTTTCAAAAACCACATACCAAACATGTTTTGGACACTTTCAAAAACTAAAAACAAAAACCAACTTGAAAACGGTAAACCAAACATGCTCTAATCTACTACTTATAATATTATTCTAGAACATTAGGTATCAAGTAATACATATGTTTCTTTGTGGTCGTTTTAAGTTTTCAGTTATAAATTTTTCCTTATTTTCGGAAATGCATTTTCAAAAACCACATACCAAACATGTTTTGGACACTTTCAAAAACTAAAAACAAAAACCAACTTGAAAAAGGTAAACCAAACATGCTCTAATCTACTACTTATAATATTATTCTAGAACATTAGGTATCAAGTAATACATATGTTTCTTTGTGGAAACATTTTACATAATCCATAATCCAGGCCCTTGGCTCCTTGTTAAGATCCTATTTCCATCTTGTTATCTGAACGATGTCAAATTACTTTATCTAAAAGTTTAAATCGATTTAAATTTAATCCCAACTCGTACATGTAGGATTCGTTAACGAATCTTTGATAAATGTCAATTTGAGACTAGGTTTACGATCAATTAGCAAATTCGTCGATAGTTTGAGAAGAAGATATTTTCTTGAATATGGAATGTACTTTAGTAATATTTATGGTTCTGCAGTTATGCATTGCACGTGAAGAATTTACTTGTATATGTTAAATTTGATGAAATTAATGTGAAAGGGACATGTCCATGCGCATACGTTATTAATTTCAATCTAGCTATGGTAACATGTTAAAGTAAGTCAATTAGCAATAACTAGAAATGTTGTTAAGGTTTGTATACTAATTTGAACAACTATATTTTCTAGGGAAAATTGTACCATGGCAAAAAATACCAATTCCCCAATCCCCATGGTACCCACATCATTTGTGGTAAAGCTCGAGCTAAATTATGAGTTAGAAAATTTCTAACTTAAATGACACTTGACTCTTGATAACTTTAATATTACGAATCGAAATGATTTTATCATAAGAAGAGAAAATTCAAATCCCCGATACAGTAGCTTATAGTCACATGCTCTAATCCTTGAACTACATGTCCCCTGTATAATAAAATTGATTACTATTACTCAAGCGATATGAATTGATGTTTATTGGCTAATGAATCATACTTTCATTGCCTTTGACCTTCAAATCACGCTCTATTTGATCAATAACTAAGTTATCAACCTCAACATCAAGTCCACGAAGTATCAATCCCCAATGGATACCGATCTGATGAGATATTGCCATCGTAATATGATGAAATTACGATAATGCCATAGTACTATTCTTCTCCCTTTGCCCCCATGTTACTAAACCAAAGGGACTCTGATTAACTTCAGCCTTTAAGAAAACTTCCTAACTCATTAGGCAAGCTCTGCATAATGTGGCTTCTCAAAACTCGTTTTCCAAGGCTGTCTGCTCAATGCACGAACGTGCTATCGTTGTTGAAATGATCAAACTCAACGTCGAGCCAAATTCTTCCAATGTCCCTAGTGATCACAGATATCAGTATTAGTCGATGTCGCAGTCCATGAATGAATCGTGTAATGCGACAATTCATATTATTAACTTAATGAACTACTATTTTTGAATATACATTTATTAATACTGTGAAAGTATAGTAATATGATTAAGTAACGTTTTCAGATTTTTCTTACTACTGTAATTTTCTCTAGCTTGCCTTCGGTTCATATACGGCCTCAATCTTGTGTCCATTTTAACAAAAAATTCAATTAAATTCTATCAATTTCCATGAAACGGTAGAGAGAAACACAAGAGTAAAATTAAAAAGCCCCATTTTTACTGTTCATTGTACATTACATGAATTAAATTGACAGTAACATATTTCTTTTTATATATATTTTTTTATTTTACATCACAACTGGAGAGAGCAGGAAGGAAGAAGGGCAAGTAAACAGTGAATTAAGCGGCACAAACAATAAGTGTAGGTGCATCCTTCTGCACTTTCAATGGGCTGCAGGGTTCCATTTCCAAATTGATTGCACAAATTTCTTCATCCTTTTTCTCCTTTTTATCCTCGAAATTTTCACAGGTTTTTGAATCAACTGGATGGACTTCAGGGGTTCCTAGAAACTTAATGTTCATTACATGTTCTGGCAACTTTTTCTCTTCGATGACAACCGGCTTCGATTTCCTATAGATCCCATACAGCAACATCTGAACAAGTCCCAAAGCGAATCCAAGAACATTCGGGAGCTACATATCGAAAAAGAAAGATCGAATTGAAGTTAATTTTACATAGCCAGGATTGCATTTAATGATAATTAAATTACAACATTTTTTTTTTCAACTTACTGCAATACACAAATCTTTCTGAAGTACACCATAGGCAAACCACATGACTGCACTTAGTGTCAAGAAAAATGACAAGAAGAATGGCATGAATTCTACACTTCGAGTCCTGACAACTTGAAACTGCTTAAAACAAACGAACAAGATAAAAAAATTAGTGAAAATTTAATTTTATGGCCCAAAAAAAAAAAAAAAGGACTTGGGAACACGAATGTTCTTAATAATTACCACGATGCTCAATGGTGCTGCGAAGACACAAACGGAGACAGCCACGCAAATCCATCCAACCACATTAACGCGGATGTTACCATCGAAGATGAAATAGGAAAGGAGGAAAATTATTGCGAACACAGCAACATCAAGAAGGCTTAACAACTTGATCGTGTTGTACTGCAAAAATGAATTTATTTAAATATGAGCACTTTTAATAAATTAAAAGTAACTAAGAAGGATATATGTGGATGACGTACTCTAATATTTTTGGACGCGTACACAAGGTACAACGTAATATAAACTGTTTCTATAGCAAATCCAAATGAATTGATAGAGATAAGCAGAAGGGCATCTCCCTTCAAGAACGCGTAATACAACCATAGAGTCGATGAAAAGAGTGCTACAATGTATGGTAAACACTCGAACCCCATGGTAGATTTTTCTTTACAAATCTTTTTGAACGTTGGCCTGAAAATCAAATAAATATACATCATTTTAATACTCCATGTATATATATCATATAATTTTTTTTTTCTTTATAGAGATTAATAAAGGAATGTGATACTTACGCAGGAGCAAGATATACACCTATCGAAATGATGTTTCCTATAAAGAGAAAAGAAAAAGAAAGAACTTCCCATCAGTGTAATATACATGTAACTGGAATGTTATGAAATAAAGAAAAACGAACAAGGAAACTGTTGAACCACCTCCTCTTAAGCTTTTTAAAAACTAAAAACAACTATTTACTTAAAATTTAAACAAAAAAACAGTGAAGTATTTCTAATAATTAGTAGGAATCAAAAAAGAGAAGATGATACTTACGCAGGAGCAAGATATACACCTATCGAAATGATGTTTCCTATAAAGAGAAAAGAAAAAGAAAGAACTTCCCATCAGTGTAATATACATGTAACTGGAATGTTAAACGAACTAGGAAACTGTTGAACCACCTCCTCTCAAGCTTTTTAAAAACTAAAAACAACTATTTACTTAAAATTTAAACAAAAAAACAGTGAAGTATTTCTAATAATTAGTAGGAATCAAAAAAGAGAAGAAAAGGAGAAAAAATCAGTGTATATTATTACCTAAGATGCCAAAAGCAAACATCCATGGATGGTGGAGATCAAAAACTGCCATTTCTGATACTCAAGAAATTCTTAAAATTTATAGCCGAAGGGTCTCTGTGAAACCCTTTCTTTCTCACTCTCTCTATACTCTATAGCCACTCCCGAAATTTCATGTTGAATGCGTATGGAGGGAAGGGTATTTATATAGGTGAAAGTAAGAGAGGGTGCGGATTACGCTCATCTATGTTGCATGACAAGTGGAGGTGGCGTACGATAGAATCATTCGCCAAACTATGTATGGACTTCTAACCCTTCACGTGTCCCTGCATGAAATTAGCTTCTAAAAGCATTATTTGCAGTGAATTTGTTTGTTCAATTACCTTTTGTTACGAAGGGCGATTCGAATTTTGACGGCTACTATTTGATTAATAGTTAATACTAATGCAATCAAATATAAAAATTAAGGGTCCGTTTGGGAAGAATTGATAAATGATTTAATTTATAAGTAGATAAAAACGAGTGGTGAATAAGTAGATAGTACATGTATATTTAATCTGAAAATGAAGTTTTAACTATTTATATTTGATTTATAAATCTTGTTGAGGGGATGCTAAATAATACCACATGATTGAGCACTCCACTCAATTTTTCTAGATGAATGATTGATATACACAATCCATTTTATTTTTGATCGCTACTAGTCACTCATCATACTAGTGTATTGTTAAACAGTACTAGACGTGACTGTGATATAATAACCGAATCAAATATAAAATTAAACAGAACGACTTGAGAGTTCCCAATTTGTCGAGAAGAATAACAACTAAATTTTGAATGCTATAGTACAATTATGATACTAGTGCATCTTTAGATAGTATTAGACGTGATCGTGACAGGACAACTATGATCAAATATAGAATAAAATGAATGCGTATTGTCTAGAGCACCCAATTTGTAGAGAGGAATGACAGTTATACATGATTAATTTTGGATTTTTGACGGTTACAGTTCAATTATAATATTAATGTTTCTTTAGATAGTACTAGACGTGACTGCGACAGGATAACTTGATTAAATATAAAATTAAACAAAACAACATGATTGAGTATCGTTGAAGTGTCCAATATCTCAGGATGTATGAGTGAAATACACTATCTAATTTTTATTTTGTTTGCTACGGTTCAATTATATACTAATGTGTCTTTAGACACTCGAGACGTGATTGTAACAAGACAATTGAATCAAATATAAAATTAAACAAACTAACATGATTGCGTATCGTTGAGAGCTTCCAATAGATCAATACGTACGGATGATTAATATACTCGACCCATTTTTCATTTTACCAGTTATGGTTCAATTATAACATTATTGTATCTTTAATTAGTAATAGACGTGATTTGATTGTGACATGACGAGTAGATGAATTATAAAATAAAACAAAACGACACAATCGAGTCACGCTATCAGAGCAAGGGTGGGATGGAGAAGGTGAATTTTACGTTACACACCCATAAAGCATAGAACCTCGTTCTATACGTGAAGTTGTCTTCCACATAAATATAGCAGAAAACAGGCACCCTGGAATCGTTACCTTACTAAGTTTGTCTTTTTCTTAAATTCTATCACTATATATGCGTCTATACTTCTGTTTTCTTGATTTGTTTGCCAGTGATTATTGCACGATTTCGTGTGTATGCTGCAAAAAACGTTAGGAATTTTAAGGATTCTCGTGTTTTCTATACTATGAAGTTGAATTCCAACGGTGTAAAGCACGTTTGGCAAATAAGTCTATGTTTTATAAGTTAAGAGAACCACACAGATACGTGGTTAAAAATGTGTGGGAAGTGGGCCCGCAACAAATCAAAATTTAGTTAGGTATTTAACTTATTTGCCAAACATTTCGTATGATAAACGACTATATCCTATTATCTAGAAGTAATATGGTAATATTTATTTATTCTGGTTTTCGTTTAAATTTTGGAAATCTTTAGATAATCCATGTTTGAATCGAAATTTGATGCAAGCTCTTCCATTCTGAATCAGATAGATATTTTGACACCAATAATACGTCGATTTTGAATATAATCATAGAACTAATAAGCTAAACGTCAGCTTATCGGTAGGAAATGCTACTTGAGAGAAATCTAAAAATGCTTTTTATCCGATAAAATTAAAAGCATACGTTGGAATCGTTTTACATTAAAGATAATTTTGTACACTAAGATTTAATACTGCGTTGATGTAGAACCGACTAAAAATTTAATCTTTTGAAGATTTTTCTAATATTGATTATATACGGTAACACATAAGTGTTTTGCAATAGGACGAGAGGATTGAATTGCAGAATTGTCACTTTCAAGCAAATAATTGAGCTAATGATATGTTTGCATGATTGAAAAGAATGGATCGAAATCCATGCAGATCACTTTGTTGTATGATTAAATCAAGAATCGAGTGATCGATCAAACCAAATGGTGGAGCCTAAAATTTTTGTAACATTAAACATGTGGCTACTCTAATTGCTGATCTGGTTCAAATTTCTCCTCAAAACTTGGTAGAATTCTTTACACGGAATCCAAATAAATGAATGATTAGAAACTTAGGATCAAATGACACTTCAACATGTGTATTCGTACGAAGTATGATTTGTTCAATCCAATCTCTCTATTAAAGGCTATAAAGAAAATGGGGACATTAAAAACTATTCGCCTATTTGAGCTTCGTATTCTGGTTAAGAATGTATTTTTAAAAGTAAATTGATGGAGGATGCGTATCTGAAAAATAAGAAAAAGTTTTGAATTGACGTTTAATATTAATTTATTTAAAATTGCGTGGGTGAAAAGAAGAAAGAAAAAAATTGTATTTTAGAAATAATGAGGATCGAACAAAGACTATATATATTAGGTGATTTAATTTTGTAATTGATGTGAATAGCATCGATAAATCCAAATAAGTATCAAAATTAGGCCCCGTTTGAAAGCGATTTTGAGAATTGTTTTTTTGATTGTTAGGAGAAAAGTGGGGGTCACCTGTGATAGAAGAAGTCAAACTTTATTTTTGGAATAGTGAAATAACGGTCAAAAAATCAATTTTTTTTAGTGAAAAATCACTCCGAAACACCCCTTAAACTAGATTGGATCGTAATCGTTCGAAGTCGAGCTAATTATAGGGTAAAAGCTAAAAATTTGGAAATCACTAAAAAAAAAAAAAATCGAAAAATTGTCCAAAAGTGCAGCATTTAAAACAGAAAAGAAATGAATAGTTGGATGGTATTACTTTAACTAAATCGCTAAAAGTTTCCGTAGATGGACTTGTTTTGAGTTACGTCCTTTAATTGGCCACGATTTAAGCCTGTATTTAAGAAAAAACACACAAAAATCCTTTCGTGCATGGCACTCCACGTGTGTATTTACGTACTTCCTTTGAATGGAAGGCAATTGAAATTGAAATTATTAATTTAAGGGGAATGAACCCGTTAATTAATCAGATTAAAGCCTATTTTAATCGTAAGAAATCTTGGAATTGCCCATATTATCGGGGAGCCTGAATTTTCAATAGTTTGACCATTAACGGCACCAACACAATTTGGAAATAGAGTTTCTAAATTTTGTAAAAATAAAGAGTAATTCTATTTGCAATCACTCATCATCGCAATCGTCATACGTGACAGTTAGTGATTTAACACATTAATGTGGTAATATTTTATTACTTTCTATATCAACAATAATTTTGCCTGTATGGAAGAAAATAGAACTCACATGGGATGGACCCCATGTGAGTTTTATATTGAAAAAATAAAATCACTCACCCATGTGATGTGTGTGATCTGTATGTGTTCTATCAATTCGATTGTTGTATGTATAGTGTGGTTGATGTATCAAATTACTAACCGTCATATTTATGTTACGTAGGACAACTACGGTTGTGAATGATTACAAATAACATCATATATAAATTATGATAAAAGGAATCCTTTTCACTAGACACGTATGTTAGTCGAGCACTGACACGTCGCATGTGTTACAAGAGTTTCAAACCAGTAAGAAAAGGACACGTGGAAATCAATTAAAGAAAATACATGAACAAAGAAACGAGAAGTCGAGAATGAATTACATGATTTGGGGTCGTAGAGTAAAGAGAGCGATGATTGATTGATGTAAGTGAAAGTTAGCTAAAGATGATTAAAAATATCGAAATTAATGGAAGGGAAATGAGGACTAATGGCATGATTTTAGAGTGGGGCTTTAAAGATTGACTATTTGCAAAGAGAGGGCTTTTTTCTCAATATATATCTGCTGATGATGACGTTGCATTTCAATGATTAATATATTTGTCACTAGTCAATTTTTAGTGTAATGAATAAGTCATCTCTATTTATATGTTAATGAACATAAATTCTATTGAAATTATATTTTAATAGACTAGAATTTATTAAAAAATTAATGCATTAATTTAAATCGTTACATCTTATTATTAATAACATATTTCCCAACACTAGAATTAAATATTTTATTAGTGTAAATTAATCCAACAATTTATTGCTTGAAAAATATCGCTTTGTGAATAAATAAATTAATCATTAAAACAGCTCTAATAGAAAAACCGAAAAGGAAAGCTTGAAGCAATATTTCACTCTCGAAAGGAAGATTGATCATTAATAATCAAATGAAAAAAGGAAATACATTATCGAAATCATTTAGGCCCTGTTTGGTAGTAATTTTGAGAATTGATTTTTTGATTGTTAAGAGAAAAGTGGGAGTCACATGTGAGTGAAGAAGTAAAAAATGACATTTAGAATAGTAAAATAACAGTTAAAAAATCAATTTTTTGGGTAAAAAAGCACTACCAAACGGGTCTTAACATTATTTTGCCATATTTAGTTGAGAATTTAAAATTGTTCTTGAAAAAGTATTCTTGAGTCATAGCAGATCAAATTATAAAATAAAGCATACTTAATAAATATTGATATTGAAATTGATAAAGACTTCAAAATTATTCCGTTATAATTTTATATCGTTATTTGTTCCATCTATTGGTTCCTAGAGTTTCTCCTTGTGGAAATGAGGTTTTTATTTAATAAAAAATACCTAATATAATTATTAAAGGAAAGAAAGCATGGAATTTTGATTCCTAAACAACCTATATGATGCGTATATGAAACTAAAAATGAATATAAATAATTTTTGTATTAAT